AGAAGGGTCTAGGCCCGTAACGTCAGCCTTCCTGCTCCTCTGATGCTGCTTGGCCTGCTGTGTTCATCCAGCTCTACACCTTGTTATCTTAGAATTATTCTGTTCCTGTTTAGCAACCTTTCCCCAGTGTTTCTTGCATTCTTACTACAGTCAGTTAATTGCATTTAGGGCCTAAGTAATGGAGGCAATGAGAGTCTTATCCACAGTTGAAGCCAGTGGGAGCCCCATCATCAGCATCTTTCAGGAAGGTATGCTGAATTATCCTTCAATAAGGACTTAACTGACAAGCAGCAGGCCTTTCCCAAAAATCAAGAATCCAAGGGATGGAAATCCTGCCTCCAAAACAATACCAGAGTGGGACTGCTGTGCAAGAGGTTGCTGCTGCCCTTAAGGAACTTGCCTGAGGATCATGATTGCCAATGGATTTGGGCCACAGATTAATAACAGCAGGATGTGGATTGCAGGGATAAAAAGAGAGAGGCCACATCAAAAATAAGACAGCTCTCAGTCAACCCCTAAATGGGCATTAAGCGGGAAGGCCATCATGAGACCATTGCTCATTTATTTCAGGGCATACATGGGAACGTGACCTACTACTCAATTAACACAGCAACACACTAATTTGTTTCCTGAGTAGGTTGGCCCTGGAGCCTGCCCTGCCATTTAAAACAAAACATGACAGCCTAAATACTTCATATTCACGTCTACCGATGATAACCTCAGTCCCTTGCTACCTAATTCTGCCTTAAAAATATTCAATGGTTCTGCTTTCACTGCCTTTTAGGAAAAAGCTCCAAACAACCTCAACCCTCAGAATTCTTTATCTGTCTTACTGGCTACCCTTATTTTTAATCATGACATCTAAAACTATAATTTTGCAAGAGGGATCATCCACCTTGTCAATAGCTTCAGCATATATATAATTCAAATCAAGATGCCTCCTACAGTTAATATCCAGTGCATAGATGCCTAGCCTCCCAACCTTTCTCAAAACAACTGAAAAGCATTAGTTTAGTTGAGATTATTACCTTCAAGGTTCTATACAATTTGGAACCCAACGTTTCACGTATAAACAATGCAGAACTTTTCTCTTTTTCTGCCTACATTTTTGGTACTTATAAGAACCACAATGACTGGTTCCTCCCCCTCCTGCTGCAAGTGCCTCCTCAGCATTGAGCGTACTGAAAACTAGCACCAGTCAGGCCACAACCTTCTAATCTCTTTTTACTGCAGAGAACCTTGTCCATCTATCTCACTATACAGTTGCCTATGAGCATTCCAGTCCTTTTTGCTTCTCACACTTGAACAGCTTCCAGTATCATGGTACCTGGTCAGTCAGCTCATCGACCCTGCAGCTGTCACACATCTAAACAAACAGAGGAACCTCAAATCTATTAAACCGACATAAAGATGCCTGCAACTCTAACTCTCCTTACTTTTCTCAGTCATACCTTCCTTTCCTTAAGAAATGACTGAATTAGACAACCCTATCCGCTAAGGGGTACAACCAGCTCTCGGTAGAAAACATCCAACTAACCTTCCCCCTCCCAGAGGTGTCACAACATCCATAATTTGGTCTGTGGCTCAAACTGAGCCAAAGTTGCTTCAGCTATAAACAGTCACCACAGACATTCATGCCCTTGACTTTAATTGGAATGCCCTCATTCAAATAATCAGTCATCAAGTACTCAAGTTAGTAAAACACAATGCGCTATAGAAAATCTATGCTGTCCTCCTTCAGTCTGCTCTGTCCCAGTGTTTGTTAGTTTTCTCCCAACACCAGTACTAAACTGACATATGCAACTACCAAGTTTCACCCTCTGCTGATGTTTGCATAAAGGTGTTGCGCTTGCAATTCTCTGGCATCCCTCTGTACCTGGAGGAGGACTGGGAAATGGTCAGTATCTCTACAACCTCTATTCTTACTTCCCTGACAGTTTAAGATGGAATCTATCTGGAGCCTGTGATGCCTCGGTTACAAAATTCTTCCAGCACTTTCTGTATCTCTATATTTTTTAAAAATCTATTCCCCACTATCTCAATTTTTCCTAATTATGTACTGTTCCTGCATAATGACTGTTACTTGTACACTAGAACATCTAGGTGCAAAACAATTCTAATTACCTAGTGAGTTTTATTTTTAAGAGGAACCTAGAACAAATAAGGTTTTATTTGTAGCAACTACTGTCTGCAATTAAACATCTTCACTGTAATGCATCATTTAATAATTGCCTAATTCTTTCTTACCTGGAAAATTTTGGGAGCACTGACTAATGAGGCAAGGGCAGAGGAAAGAGTGGCTGAGAAGATTCCTGCAGTGATGAGGGGACCAAAACCAGACACCATGCTCATAACCTACAGAGTAAGAAAATGTTATTTCACTGCTCTTCAAATTTAAAATCAGGTATCCTACACATACCAGATTTGATCCTTTTGAAAAATACTTCAGTTCTTTAATAATAATTTTCTTTAAATCCATATGCATTTTAAATATACACACACATTATATATACACACACGAGTTCAATAAAACAAAACTGTGAATGTTGGACATCTGAAAAAACTGAACTGAAGAAACTCAGCAGGTCTAGCAGCATCTGTGGAGAGAAAGTAGAGTTAACATTTCAAATCTAGTGACCCTTCTTCAGAACACAGACATCGGGGAAGGGAAGAGGGGAGTCGGAGATGGACCAAGTGAGCCGAAGAGCGGCATGGAAATTGGAAGCAAAATTATGAACTTTTCCAATTCCAGATGGGAGAGGGAAGCAGCACTGATGATGTTATCAATGTACTGGAGAAAGTGATTAGGGGAGGGACCCAAGTACGATTAGAATGAAGAAAGTTCCATGTACCCCACAAAAAGACAGGAACATAACTGGAGCCCATGCACGTACCATAGCCACACCTTTGATCGAGCGAGAGAGGAGTTAAAGGTAAAGTTGTTCAAACAAGCCCAGCAAGGCACAGGAGGGTGGTACAGGATGGGGACAATTCAGATCCCCGACCCCACCACAGAAGCAGCGGAGAGGCTTGAGACTATCCTAATGGGGGTAGATGTATAAAAGTGATCATATGTCCATGGTGAAGAGGCAACTAGGTGACTGAAAACTGGAAATTCTCAAACTGATGTAAAGCATCAAAAGAATCGCGGATGTAAGTGGAAAGGGGCTAGACAAGGGAAGAAAAAATTCAAGATAAGAAGAAATAAATTCCATGGGACAGGAACAGGCAGAAACAACTGGTCTGCTTTGTTGATTTTGGAAAGAAGGAAGGTAGAAGTAGACTGTACAACCTGGGAGGCTGTTGGAAGTAGGGGAAGAGAGGTATCTCTAGATGAGATGAGATTAGTGACTATCATGGATACTGTGGCTTGATGTTTGATATTAGGATGATGGTCATAAGAACGTAAGAACTAGAAGCAGGAGTAGGAGTAGGCCATCTGGCCCCTCGAGCCTGCCCTGCCATTTAATAAGATCATGGCTGATCTTTGAGACTCAGCGCCACTTACCCGCCCACTCACCATAACCCTTAATTCCTTTACTGTTTAAAAATTTATCTAGCCTTGCCTTAAAAACATTCAGCGAGGTAGCTTCAACCGCTTCACTGGGCAGGGAATTCCACAGATGGTCCAGGGAGATAGGTGGTGGTGTCAGAGACGACAACAACAACACTGCCCCTGTTGTCAGGCGTGATGACAAAGTCAGCATTGGATCTGAGTGCAAGTACAGTTAAAAGGGAGATAAAGCTAAATGGGTGCGGTTGGGGCAGAGAAATTAAGACAACTGATGCCATGTCAACAGTTTTCAATAATGCAGGTAAAAGGCGAGGAAGGGGTCAAGACGGAGTGTGTTGGAAACAGGTGAAGAGATGTGTGGGATGGGGAGAGGACTCTTGTCCAAAGAAATGATGGAAGAGTTCAACTCATTCAAGTGGGAGCACAGAGGGATAAAACTAAGACCTTTGCTGAGTACAGAACATTCAGTGGAGAATGCAAAAATCAGAAGGGATCGTAAAAAACCCATCAAGAAATGGGGTTAAGAGAAGTGATGGACACAGAGGGAAGGGAATGGGAGGAAGGCTCAAGAGGGGCAAGAGTTGAAGACTGTGTTCCTTAAAGCCTGAAAAGGAACAGTAAAAGTTTCTCATCAGAATGGTGAGCAAGCCGGAGAATAAAGTGGAACTGGAGGGAAGGGCAGGGCAGCTGTGAGGTAGTATGAGGTGGTGATAATGGACAGAAGGGTCAAGAGTGTGCATTTGCTGGCACACAGATCTCGGAATGCAGCAAGAACAGCTGTTTGAAGAGCACTGTACATCACAGAGATACCACGATCCTGGATGGATGTGAAAAATGAAGGATGAAATTCCAGTTGGAAACCACATGGGGTGAGTCTGAGCCACAGGCAGTCACTGGGGAATGTGATATAGCTATGGAAGTGAGGTTTGGCAAATACTAGGTGACAACAAAAGTAATAATGATGAACAAAAAGATAGATTAGGGTGGAAATCCTGTCAGAGAAGCAGAACTTTAAGGTTTGCACACCCGGAAGAGATGCAGCAGTGAGTTAAACACTAAAACAAAAGGAAGAACAATGGATGCTGGAAATCTAAAACAGAAATTGCTGGAGAAATTCAGCAGGTCTGGCATCATCTATGGAGAAAAAAAAAGACTTAACAGTGAGTCCAGTGACCCTTCTTCAGAATGCTGAAGAGGAGCAGTTGGGCACAAAATGTTCATTCTGTTTTCTTGCCACATATGCTGCCGGACCTGCTAAGTTTCTCCAGCAATTTTTGTTTTGTTATATGGGAGTTCAGTTCCTTTACAGGCACATTTGATTGAGGTAAATTGGTTGAAATTCTTACAGTATGCAATACCAAGTTACAACTACAAACCTTCTCATCATACCTGTAAACAAATGAGGCACTAACGGAGAGGTGAATAATGGGTTGAAATAATTGTCACAAAAAAGCGAGAAACTTCATGGGGGAAAGAGGATGAGGGAGAACAGAAGTTTATTGATTTAAAACACAGACTTCTTTTGTTTCTTTCTAGATGATGTCTGAGAGGGGCATTTGCAGCTTTTTCCTTTATGTCAGATGTTTAGCACCTGCTGCATTTTATTTTTGAGGGAAAACTATTCCCAGTATTCTCAAGATTTATCCTTCAAATCAATGAGAGAAAAAAGAAACAAAAAAATTGATTGTCTGGCCACTGCAGTTTGAGAGTCTGCTGTGCAAATTGGCTGTCACATTTCCTATGTTACAAGAGTTAAAAAATAGTTTAGTTAAAAAAAAAACTTCATTTTCTGAAGAAAGGTCCAGGCCTGAAATGTCAGCTTTCCTGCTCCTCTGATGCTGCCTGGCCTGCTATGTTCATCCAGCTCTACACCTTGTTATCTCAGATTCTCCAGCACCAGCAGTTCATGGATTGTAAACCACTTTGAGATGTTCAGTGTTGGGTTTAAAAGAAAAACCAAACTACAAGTCTTGTAATTCCTTTTAGAAAGGAATCCATTTTCACACCTCATGTCACTGAAATATTTCAATTCATTATCCTTTGTAATGCAGTTATATTTAGACAAACCTGGCAGCCATTCTGTACCTGTGACATTACCTAAATATTAACTGGGTATTCATTTTGATAAGTTAGTTTTTTCATAGAATCCCTACAATGTGGAAACAGGCCCTTTGGTCCAACGAGTCCACTCCGACCCTCAGAGCATTCCACCCAGACGCATCCCCCTATAACCCACCAAATCTACAGATCCCTGAACACTACGGGCAATTTAGCACAACCAATCCACCTAGCCTGCACATCTTTGGACTGTGGGACGAAACCGGGGCACCCGGCGGAAACCCGTGCAGACACAGGGAGAATGTGCAAACTCCATACAGACAGTTGCCAGAGGGTGGAATCGAACCAGGGTTCCTAGTGTTGTGAGGCAGCAGTGCTAACTACTGAGCCACCGTGCCGCCCGTTCTATTTAGTTATTGTCAATGATCACCTGCAAGCAAGTCTGACCATTAGGAAATTGGGGTGGGGGAGGGGGCATTCCTTTCTCCAGCTCCTTTTCCATACTTCCTCTTGCTACTGGGTGTTCACAAAGAATTGTGTCCCTTCATACAGGAAGCTTCCTCCAAGTTGGTTTCTTCTGAACACGGGTCTCCCACAATACTTCACGTGATGAAGGTGCAAGGCTTCAAAAGCTTGTAATTTCAAATAAAACTGTTGGATGGTAACTAGGTGTCATGTGACTTCTGATTTTGTCTTACGTGTCCACATCCATGTTGCATTACTTGAGAGAAGCTTTCTGGGAGTCTTTGAAACACTTCCTTTGCCCTCTTCTCATTTGAGTGCCTCCCTTGAGCTGGGTGAAGATGATCTGCCTTGGCAGTCAGAACTTGGGCATCATAAGCCAACAGCCAGCCCAGCGGAGTTGGTTTCAGATGATGCTGATGTTATTGGCTGCTTCAAGCAAGTCTCAACTGATGTGGAGAATCCTTCTGTGTTGATGTATTTCTCAAAGGCTTTAAAAGGTGGTATCTATAAAAGTTATCCAAGTTTGAGCCATACAGAACAGAGTCAAGAAGATGGCTACTTTACAAGGTAAGGATCTTGGTATCAGCATGGATATCACGATTGAATAGGTTTAGTTATATTGATAGCTTTAACACTTGGGGAACCTCCTGCTCTTCTTCAGATACTATGAATTAATCTTTAGTGACCACATCAAAAATGACACATCTCAAGACAGAAGTGATCAAACATACAAAGTCATAAGACTGCAAAAACAAGAGAGAGAGTTTAGAACAAGCCAAAGAAAAGAATAGATTTTATATTCTAATTTAGAAAAACATATACTGGAGAACTTCAGTGACCATTTCTACCACAATAGAGGCCACAATTATAGACAAGTCATTTCCTTCCAAAAAGTGGCTATTGCTGACCAAAAAAAAAACTTACATCCTTGCATGAGAAAAATTCCAAAATTTAAAAAAAATGTCAAACTGCAGTTTAGACTGTCAACAGAAATTGCTGGTAAAACTCAGCAGGTCTGGCAGTGTCTGTAGAGAGAAAGCAGACTTAGTGACCCTTCTTCAAAACAGTTCTGATCTCCAGCATCTGCACTTCTGTTTTATTACACAAGGAAAAACTGGGTTGCTTCTGACAGACTGGAGTTACAATACCAGTTTTAAACTCCACCAATAAATTTGAGATATGTCATTATCTTAACTCAATAGGCCACACAACTATTACCTGGAAGTTATTCATTAAACCAAAATTGCACATCTGTGTATTACAGCCAGAGAAATCATATCCTAACGTACAGGCTGCTGAACCATTACAGCTTGTCAAAGCACTGATGGTATCATTGACACTTCCTGTAGCATCACGTACAACAGTGGCGCCTGCAAGCAGAAGAGGTAAAAAAAGGTACAGTTTAATTCACAAATAAAAGTTAAACCATCCAAGAGGTTATAGCTCACAGCATGTGCTCTCATCACACCTTCACGATTAATTAAGTATTTTTTGAATTTTGAAAGTAAATGACTGCATTATCTATTCTGATGCCTGGACTGAAAATTGCAACGTCAAATGTTCTGTTCTTCAAATAAACCCATGGGATCTTGTTTCTGTATGAAAAAAAAGTGTGAAGTGGACAACATTTTGGCTTGAACATCTCATCCAAAAGATGGTAGGTGCCAGTGCAGAACCCCCTTTGTTCTACAGCTGAGTCTTTGGCTGAAACAGAGACTGCACACTCAATGAGATTTAGAACCACTGTTTTATTATCCATGTTGGCCTTGGCTCAAATCAACAAAATGATATTCACACATGGTCACACAATGCTTGCTTTATATTTAAGCCATTCACCAACTACCTAACCATCAAATTTCACCAAGAACTCAAAATCTAAATAAAAATTACCACCTACGTTAGCAAGTTACAATCAAAATTAAACAAAGTTTAGCCATCGACATAATGTAATTCAAGTGGCAAAAGTCAGACACAGGTGATACAATGTTTAAAATTAACAAATTAGTTTTAGTCTATTGCCAGGATTGGACTGTTATTCAAACAATAAAGGAAATGAAATAATACAGCATGGTATCAGAATCCAGAGGTATATCTAGTAGGTCTTATATGTTTCTATTTTGTGACCTTTTTCACAAAACGTGAAAAACATCCTGTAGGGCCTTAATTATACAGAGTGAAGGTAGTGGTTCAGATGACAGACAAAATTATTCATCTCTCACTATTGTTCAACTTTGCATTATTCTCAGGTAGCTATATTTCTTTATTAGTAGAACTGCATAACATAATATTCATACATTGATCACACACAAAAACCTGGCCACAACATCGAAAAAGGTAATGAGTGCCATTAGAAATTTGACGTAATGGTCACATTGTTGTGGGCCAGACCTGACCCCCTCAAAAAGGTAGCCTAGCTCTTAACCTCTTATTTTAAAAAGGTAAATATAAAGCGCTGTGTTCCAGGTGCAATTTCATTGGTCAAACTACTCGACATTAAGCAAAATACCAGTTATTGAAACACTATTGTTAAAATACAAGAAACAGGGACTTGGAATAACTCTATTGGAAAACTTGACAGCTACATTCCATAAACACATCCTTGGCAAAAGACAAATTTAGAAAACAGAATTCTCTCACATGCAACTCCCATAGCAGGAAGGGAAATCCTAGTTTATGCTTGTAATCAGAAGGAAAAACTAGCTTCCAGACCCCAACAGCAATTGCTGAAAGCTAACTAAAAATTCTGGTTCTGAGAGAGCGTGGCCACACCCATATAGGCTACTTCCACTGTTTCTCTCCACTGCAACCCACTAGTGATCCACTGAGGTCTTTCCAGAGGGATGAAGACAACTTCAAGGTGGGCATCCTTGGAAGAGACTTCGCAGTAGGGTTTTCAGTCACTGAGATAGCAAGAACTGTAGATGCTGGAGTCACAGTCAATACAGTGTGGAGCTGGAGGAACACAGCAGGTCAGGCAGCACAGAATAGTAAGAAAGTCAACATTTTGGGTTGAGACCCTTCATTAGTCTTGCTATCCTCTGCTCTTACTGTTTCAACTTTAAAAAGCCCAAGATCGCACAAACTGCTTACTTTACCACCTTTCCAAGTAGGCAGTTCGTCACCTCTGACTTAAAACCTCAAAAAACCCAAAACAAAATAACCTCTTAAAGCTGGATGAACACAGCAGGCCAAGCAGCATCAGAGGAGCAGGAAGGCTGACGTTTCGGGCCTAGACCCTTTATACATTTGTATAAATGTTGTCAGTAGATGTCTGATTAAATACAATTAGACGATTTACCACAGAATAACAGTAATAGAAAAATAAAATAAATTTTAATTCTTGTTTTAATTTCAAGTCAAAACACCCTTGGAAGCAGCTATAGTGCAGTGTTAAAGTATATTCAGCTGCACAGCACAATTTAAGAATGACATATCCAAGAAAAAAAGTCAATTATTTTAAGCAATAATGCTAGTTATTTGCACAGTAAATTACAGTGTTGTATACTAACACAATCTCTTCTGTAAACTGATTATGCATAAATAAGTAAAGTTACTTGTCAAATACTGTGAATGCTGCAAATCTGCAATAAAATAATTGCTGGAGACATTCAAAAGGCTGGACAGTATCAGAGAAGAAAGAGTTAACATTACAATCTGATGGATTTTCACCAGTTCTGGCATCAGCAGACCCTGGTTGAGGCTGTTGGCCAGGCAGGAAACAGTTTGCTAAAAATTATAAGGTTCTGTCTTTAAATTTGGCAGACTACCATGTTCCAATGTCACCTTCTCCACAAAACGTTCACTGCCATTCCCTCCTCCATAAAGATCAGGGCCAATAGTTATCTGGGCTTTTGGCACTTTAATGTCAAAATGTAACTATTGTACTCAAACATTGTTCAATTGGTGAAAATAAATGCCTGTATGTCAGCATTTTTAATACTGCACACAAATATCTGGGAAAGAACTTTCCACTTTTAATACTTACCAGTTCGTAATTTCTAGTTAAGTGGACTGTGTTCATTTGTCTACGATTTCCTGTATTTATGTTTTAGTCCCTAAACAATAATCATTCAAGAACAAATTATTATCTTACCTATACAGATGGCAACAGCTATATAAGTCAAAGCTGTTACGAAGATAGCCAACATTGTTCCTTTCGGGATGGCTGCTTGTGGATCCTGAAATGTAAGTGTTTTAAGGTCACAAAGCTTTGACCTAAAATAAACAAACTTAACATGTAAAAAGTAATCAAGAGGAACATACCTTTAGATCACCAGAGATGTTGGCACCAGCAAGAATGCCAGTAGCAGCTGGGAAAAAGATGGCAAAGACAGAGAAGAAACTTTCTCCATCCCTGAAAGATGGCCCAAAATTCTCCACAAATACTTGAGCTGCACAGGTTAAAAATAAGAAACTGCTAAATTTAGAGCCCAAATTAACTGGACTGCATATTTTAACTCCTCCCAACAAACAGGTTTCTTATTGGTAAACATAGAACTTACCTTGATAGTTAAAGAAACCTTTGCTTCTTTTCTCAATCGTACTTCGAATGACAGTTCCAATAAAAAAGTTAGCAATACCGATAAGAAGAATTATCAGAAGAACAACTTGAGCCTGGTAGAAGACAGAAGTATTTGCTTAATTTGCACCAACACATCTCACTTTCAAAGAAAGAGTCTCAAAGTCTCATTTGATTTTGCCCAAATAAGACAAGATACTTGATTAAAGTTACTTCTACTTTAAGCTGCACTGATATTTTAAAAATGCAGCTAAAACCTTACCTTTGTTTCCCATTCCATGCCAGCTACAGTTATACCAAGAAGTACTACTACTGTAATGCAACCTACAATTCGTATATCACTGATTGGATCCACCATGAGGACATTATTTTCCTGCAAAGATGACAAATTATTGTCAAAAATATGACAAATTGTCAAAAATATTAATAAAGTTCCAAGGCAGGAATTTTTTAAAACATAAATAACTTATGTTACAGTTGATTATATTGAAATACATTTAATAAGTATTTCAATATTTTTACTTTGGATTACCTTCAGGATATCCACCACTGTTTCTGCAAATCCAACAACATACATTGCAACAGCTACAGCATTAGCAAAGGAAAAGATCAAGCCAATAGATCCACCAAATTCTGGCCCGAGACTCCTGGATATGAGATAGTAGGCACCACCTGTTTAGGTCAAAAAATAGTTAATCTTTGAATAAATTAAAAAATTACTTGCCAATATAAATGAGGGAAGGGGCTGCTTGAAGTTAATGCAATATGCATTTAACTCAGCTAAGATTGTTGCATCTGGCTAGAGACAACATAAAATAAAGGAAACGACCATGAACTTTCTAGAGTATTAGTCATCAAAATCACTTACTAAATTCAGCTTAGAGGATAAATTGAAATCTTTGTATTTTATTTGTGTCATGTTCAATTACCCAAATCAAATTTTTGGTTCTTTGGTGAATCTCAACAAATAAGGCTCAAAAAGAAGCAAACATTCTGGTGAAACTTCTCATCTTGAAATCAGGACAGATGAAAAAAGAAAATGCCGAACTTCAAAGTCGCCTCAGAAAATAGCATGATGTCTAGGCACTGTGCCTAAACAAAAACATGGATGATTTGGCAGGTGTGAAGGGAGAACAATAATTCCCTGGCGCATTTACCTTGGCAATGCTTTGACCAATCAATTAGCAGCCTTCACGCACTTCCCCACCCCAACCCAAACTCTCCCACACCAATAAGCCTGCACGTATCCTGTGCTTCCTCAGCCCCTCTGTACTCTTCAGCACCTTCCCCACCACATGGACCATCCACTGTGCCACCCACTAAATGCCCACTCCATTTTTGTTTATTACAGGAGAAGGCACCCATTACAAGGCAGAAACAGCCCACACAGGTGGAGGGATAGCAAACAACCAGGTCCTCATTTCCTACAATGAGAAAATCCTGACTTTTGCAGGGGAACACAACATTTTAGAATTGTTTAATGTGAACTTGTGATACCAAGGCATCCAATTGCCAGAAAATGGGATTAGAATAGTTAGGCGCTTATTTCTGACCAGCACAGACTTAGCATATAAGCCAAAGAGCCATTATCTGTCATGTAGATCTCTATGGCCAAGACCAGGGCTCCTTCTACAGCGATACTGAAATATGCATGTCCTGCTAGGTGACCAAGTCCCACTTCAACTCACATTAATCTCTTCATCACTCTCAATCATTGCACTCCACTTTTAATCACTGGCCATGTCGTCTTTGCTATTTTGTCTTGCAGCTCCCACTAACTTACACTCCAGCTCGGTGTAGAAGAGCCAACACCCTCAAAACGCACGGACAAGCCTCAGAGGAAGCATTATGAAGCTGCCAGCTGCACTCCCCCACCAGACCAGATACTGGTACCTTGGTGCAGTCCATAGGCAACAGTGTGGCATGCAATCAACTGAGAATAGAGGAGCATGGCACAGAGGCACATGGGATGCAATGGCCCTGATTGCCCAGATGTTCCATGTTTTGAGGGTGTTGGCTCTTCTACACCGAGCTGGAGTGTAAGTTAGTGGGAGCTGCAAGACAAAATAGCAAAGACGACATGGCCAGTGATTAAAAGTGGAGTGCAATGATTGAGAGTGATGAAGAGATTAATGTGAGTTGAAGTGGGACTTGGTCACCTAGCAGGACATGCATATTTCAGTATCGCTGTAGAAGGAGCCCTGGTCTTGGCCACAGAGATCTCAATGGGCAAGCTGGCAGTTGTCATGGAGAGACACACCCAAAACCCTCAGGAGCTGCTTGGGAGGATCAGTTCTCAAAGAAGCAGGATACAGTTGTTTATCACTGACTATACTAGGGAAGGTCAGAGGGTCAATGCTATAGGATGGCCAGGGAATAGGCAGCTTGTGTCTGTTTACTGTAGAATGCACAGTCCTGTGACCCATGGTCCCCCTCCCTTTAAAACCCCACTATCACTACTTGTTGCAGCCCATCCCCCTCACAGGAGGTGCCACTATGGTCATATTTCCCTGATGCATCCTTTCCATTTGCATTGTGATGGCAGGCAACACAGCACTTCACTGCCAGTGGCCTCCAGCCTCAGCCTGAACATGCTAGTAAGTCCCAAACATCCACTTCCTAGTAGACTATCCTGTAACTCAACTGACTGGTGGGTCCCTCCATGGAGTAGAACTCCCCTGAGGTTAGATATGCAGCTATTCGCTTCCTGCACATGCACTGTGTTTGCTGCAGAAGCAGGTGACAGATTGATGAAGCATGCTGCTATACAACAAGATGTGCATTCCCCCAATACACTGAGGATTGCTCAGCAGCAAGGCAAGCTGCCTGTCTCTGTGGCTGCATAAACTGGCACGGCAGGATGCTTTGAACAGGCAGGTGGATGTTAAGTATACAAGCAGCCAACCTAGTCCAATATTCAAGCTGGGTGTCTGTCACTGTGTGACATGTGTCCCCTCTGCAACCTTTTAATACGAGTTGCTGGTGTGTCTGTCAATGCAAGTCTGTGTTTCCAGAGCACACAGCTAGGGAATAGTAGAAGCGCCAAGATGGTTATGATAGGTTGGCAGATATCAGATGCTAGTGTCTGTAGTTGATGTGCTGCTGCCCAGGTCCAGCAGAGAGGTGGTTCAGACCAAGCAGCAAGCTAAATCCTCCAGGCACAAGATTAGGTTTCCTTCGAGTTTTTCCGATGTCTAGCTTTTTGACAAAATGGGAGCCTGAACAATAATGAAACGAGTTGTGGTATTTAACAAGTGTTAACCCCCATCAATTGGTACTTTGCCACATCGTCAGAATTTTGCTACACCGCTTGTGAAAAATGAGAAAGATAGAGTGAGTTAATCCCGATATCGAGATGGGTTTCGTGTTTGCTGCACTTGTCATCCAATTGTGACAGGGTCTGATCAAGATGTGTTGTTTCACACAAGCTCCACTGACATTTGAGAGGTAGAGCACTGTAAACATTTTTTGAAGCTCAGGAATCAGCTACTTTCATTTGCAATGGACTTGTTACTCTAAATGATTTGCCTCCTTGTGTCATGAAAATATTTTGAAAACTAAATTAATCAGATGCAAATACAGAGAAAGATAAACAGTGATAGTGTCACAGCATTCATGAAGAAAATTGTATTTTGGAAGAATAATATAGAGTCATGAGTAATATAGCATGGAAACAGACCCTTCAATCCAAACTGGTCCTGCTGACCACGGTGCCCATTCAGCTAGTTCCAACTGCCCACATTTGGCCCATAATACCTCTAAAACCCTTCCCCCATCCATGTACCTATTCAAATGTGTTTTTTTTTAAAAATGTTGCTATTGAACCTGCCTCAACCACTCTCTCTGGCAGCCCATTCCATACATGCACCACTCTCTGCATGAAGTTGTTCCTCAGGTTCTTAAATCTTCCCCCTCTTACCTTAAACCTACGCCCTCTAGTTTTCAATTCCCCACCAGAATGTTCATACTCTTTGCCCCTCACAATTTTATACATCTCAATAAGGTCACCCTTCATTCTCCTACATTCAAAGGAATAAAGTCATATCCTGGCCAGCCGCTGCCTATAACTAGTCCTGGCAACATCCTCGTAAATCTTATTTGCTCACTTTCCAGTTGAACTATTAAGTTGAAACATAAAGTTTAACAATGACTCTTTCCTATAACTTTGCAAGTTCCTACCAATAACAAAAATCAAACTGTCCGACTCGTATGGCAAACAAACATCTTGGCCAACTGTGGGTGTTTTTGGTCTCAAGTTGTGGGAAAGTTCGATCGAGTCCAAAATCCTTTTCAATGTGAATCTGGTGACATGGATTGACCCACAACTGAAACTAGAACAGCTTCTTGAACGATCACACAATCAATTTTTGGAACAAACAACTTCCAGAATTTCTGTCAGAATTCTAGTTTGACATGATTGTTTTTGATATTGCAACATGCACATTAAAAGTACGGCTCATCTTAATAGCACATATTTGCATTAAGTCCGATTTAACTCACTTGTCTGCATGGCACTTCTACCAACCAACCCTAGATGTCACATTGAACACTGAGTGTGTCATATCAATTATAGTGCTAATTGAGACACCAAGTCACAATATGTGTGCCAATATGTCTCAATAGGCTCTGTGAGCACATAAAATAACAATTCCCTCCCACCCAAAAGTATTTTAACAAATATGATGTATTATATTATTACCATTAAATGCAAACTTTAGCAATTAATGACTGAATGCTGTTATGATGTCCCTGTCGGCTCCTAAGATGATAACTTTCAAGAACCAAAATGGGATCACATTAGGAAATAATTTAGCAACTATTGCATTATATGTTCTGCAGTCAAATTGCACGGAATGTAAAAAAAGTAGTTACTCCACACTACACATGATGTAGCAGCCACATACATACGGCATGGCTCTGAAACTAATATTTCTGACTATAAAACACTTTTCAGAACAGGACAAGAGTGATGACTGGATGCATTCTTTCACAGTTGCAACATTAGTTTTAGGGACATTGTTACAAAGCAAGCGGACAAGGAACAGATGAGAAATACAAAAACAAAATTGTATAGCTCTGAATTCATATTGCAAGCTAACAGAGGAGATGAGAGAAGAAAATAACAACTACTAGTGATCCAGAAATACTGAAGAATGAAATATTAATATCAGGTGGGTTCGACGCCACCCTCTGGCGACTGTGTGTGGAGTTTGCACAGTGTCTGCGTGGGTTTCCTCTGGGTGCTCCGGTTTCCTCTCACAGTCCAAAGATGTGCAGACTAGGTGGGTTGGCCATGCTAAATTACCATTTAGTGTTCAGGGATGTGTAATCTAGGTGGGTTATAGGGGGTGTGTCTGGGCGGGATGTCTGGAGGGTCGGTGTGGACTTTTTGGGCCAAAGGGCTTGTTTCCACTCTGTAGGGATTCTATGATCTATGACTTCAATTCTATCAAGATAATTTAGTCAACTCCAAGGAACACATTTAGAATCTAATTACATTTGTAAATCAGTGTACCTTGAACATCAAGATATATCCATCCAACCATAAGCCACGTACTGTCCAAGAGTAGCAAACAAAAATAAAGTGCTTAGAAAGTTACTTTGACAGTGCATTCTTGGAGTTGGAGGGTGTTGAGCAACCAGTGCAAAATGGATATGGACAAAACAGGAGTAAATGTAGGGCCACTTTCTCAGGCATCTTTTGATCATGTGATGGAGGCATGCAGAAAACATCTACTAAAAATTCTCCATCTTGATCCTTTATCTTCCCCTCGGACCACTGACTTTAATATTGATTAGGATGAAAGGAAAAGTGTGCTGTTATTGGCTCGTAATTTAAATGGAAATACCGCAGATTCAATACTGTAGTCCATTTCTACAAATAAAACCAGGACGCTAATAAGTAATTATGCATTTAGTGCTATTTTGCTAACAGACTGTATACATTTTGTTTCATTGGAACAGTTGGCAACAATCATTCAACATCAACACCTGCATTCAGATTCACACAAGATTAATTTGTCAATTAGTTAAGGTAAAGTTCAACCAATTTTATTTCTATGTAACATAAATTACAATTATCAGGTTGAATAATTTCAAAATCAGGTCAATTGTAATTGATGGCGATGTGAAGCAGGCAGCTTTTTCACACATTAGGTACATACAATTTTCCCCTTAAACATGGGTCATTTGATTACAATCTGGCCAGTGCAAAGAATTTGTTTTTACATTACCTCCTCGAACAACTCCATTGGTGCAAATGGCCGACATAGAGATACCTGTTAAGACAGTTACCACTGAACTCAGGCTAATGATGACGACTCCAAGACCTGTAAAGAATTCCAGATATATCTTAAACATGTTTCTTATACGCAATCACCAACGCAGCATCTCATTAATTTAAGCAGCTGGAACCTAAAATGTACCAAAATTAAAAAAGAATCTGTAACGGTTCCATCCTTGGACAGAATACCTGAAATGTACTAAAATTAAAGGCATTTCTAATGTTTCCATCCTTGGGCAGAATACCTGAAATGTACCAAAATTAAAAAGGAATCTGTAACGGTTCCATCCTTGGACAGAATACCTGAAATGTACTAAAATTAAAGGCATTTCTAATGTTTCCATCCTTGGGCAGAATACCTGAAATGTACCAAAACATTAAAAAGAATCTGCAGTCATCTGGTCCTTGGACAAAACATCTGAACTGTACTAAAATTAAAGAAACCTGTGATACAATTACCCTTGAAGGGCAGTCTAGAGACATCAAATACCATTATCTCATACAGACTCAAAACCGGACGTCAGACTTCACACACTGTCATCTTGGCAACATGGTTAAGACCTGAACTCTCAACAGCATGGATAGCAAAACAGAGTAAAACACCACCAAGAGGTTATTGACCGACCATAATCAGTTCCACGTTTTGGTGACCCAAGTACAACTAAAATCATTACCTCCACGAACACATCCATTTGTTGAAATAGCAGAGGTTGATAACCCAGTAATTGATGTTACTACGGTAGCCAGAAGGATAAGAACAACTCCAAGACCTGTCGATAATGAATTTATATACAGTTATAGCAAACTGAAGCATCACCTGGTGTTGTGAGCTCTTTGAATGTTGTCTTAACTTCAGACAACCAGTAAACCAGAACACTATTTGATGCACCGAGACATTTCTGATGTGGAGAATCTAAGTTGCTCATAAACACAAAAATGTCGGAATCTGAATTCTAAAAGATTTAAGATTTCTTAAAACAAATTTTATGACACTTAAAAGAACTTACATTCAGCCATTCAGGCAAATTCTTCAAAAGTAATTGAACACAGTCATAAATCCATACTATTGGTAAAATATTTGTAAAAATAAAATCCAGCACCATTGAATTTATCTTCACCAAGATTTAAAATTCCTTCATAGATATTGGTAAGTGGAAGACCGGATCAACAAAAAAACGTACACATCATTCAAGAGTGGGCAAATCATTCATTTAGGGCATTTGTCAGAACAACTACTTATCAACAAGAACTAAACAGATAAAACAAATGCTGCAAAGATCAAACCGTGCTAAATGAAATTGTTCTCATTGTCTTTATTAGTTAATTTACACCCAGGCAACCTGCAGCCAGCTTTCTGCTACGGACACTGCACATAATTTAAGATGGATAGCTGCACCGTTTTAGGAAAGATTCCCCAAATCATTTGGGAGAAATCATCTTGAGCCTGTTATATAGTGATGTTCAGGTTTCACTTGGATCACTTCAGACAGGCAGTTTCATTTATGTTTTTGTTTCTGGCAGGAGCTATTCCAGGTTCAAATTACTAAATAGCTGGAGTAAGTGGTCCATGCCTGCTGAGCTGCAGCAGCATTTGTTCCATTTACCCAACAATGCTGTCACTCCAATAGATAGCCAAACATGTTTAATAGTTGAAGAAAAAAAAAGTTAATTTATAGGGAAACCACTGTATTTACCACAGAATGATTCCCTCAGATTACGGTAAAAAGGAAAACATTTTAATATAACAGGAGAATGGTGGAATTGTTGAGTCTATATAGCGAAAAAGCAATGGATGAGTCTTTTAGTGGTAAAGGGACAGAGACAGTACAGGCATACAACAATAAAAGAGGAGAAATTAATGGAGGCAGTTTTTGTTCAACTCTTTTTTACCCCCCTCCCAGAATTGGCCATATGAGCAAAGCCACCACTTTATTACCTGTCCCCAGGTGCCCAAAGTCTCCCATAACTATTGCAACCCAATGGGCAGATGTCCCTACAGCAATCAGTCAAGAAAAAAGGAGTAACAGCAAGTGGTCTTATTTAGCCCGAGATGATGACCACAGGATGACAATGGAACGTACAGTGAGGGTATGTACAGTGTGATGGTGCGTAAAGACAGACAAACTGCATTCATGAATAATAGGGCTAGCACTGGCAACAGAAACAGTAAGAGTCCAGAACAATAGCAGTCCCTCCCCTCCAATTGTCAGTGTACAACTGGAAGATGGTTTACACAGATCATATGATAATCACCTTCGTCAATGGATATAAAAACAAGGAACCAAAACTTCTCATGCAAAGAACTTCCCAGATCAAAAGCAGGTGCAACTCTTGTCAATTGTCTGTTGGCATAAAAAGTTCATCTAATACATACAATTTTTTGATACAGTATGTAGAGGGAACATGATCCTGTGTGGTCATTTTCTCAGGCTGAATAGACCATTTGCTGGTATTTCAAATTAAAATGTAGTTAACAACTTCCACCGTAAGCCATAAAAGGAGAAAATTATAATGTTTTCTAGTGAAAGAAACAGCAATTTTAATTCTTAATCCTCAGAAAATTTACATTTTAATTTGAAAAGATTTTAGCATGCAGCTGTAAGAATTCAACCTTGTGCAGCAACCAAAAGGGAGTTTAAGTGAGAAATGCAGAAGAGACAAGTACAGTTCATGGATGCCAATTGCGGAAAAACAAAAAAAAAACTTTAGAAGCATTAAGGAAATAGTTTCAGAAGAGAAAATTTTCATAACCATTGTACCAAAAGTTTATGATTAAATGCTTTGATTGGAACAAACCTACACTTTTCAACAGCTTATTTGTTAACAGAATGCAATAAAATGGCATCGCTTTGAAAGTTTTTTTTTAAAAACAGATGTTTTGTTTATCAGAAGGCAAAACAACTTCCAGAACCTTTCCACAGCCATTATGGCAGCAAAAGCAAAATAAGACCTGGCCAGAAATAAAATAAACATCTATTTTCCTACAGGATCACGTCTATTTCTACTTTTATAGTGAATATAACAAAAAGGGTAAAAGGGAGGGGTTATAAAAGGGATGTACTTTTAGCACAGATGGAGATGAGTATGTACGACCTGATTGTTACTGCAGCAACATGGTTGAAAGGTGACCAGGATTAAGACCCAAATGTTGAAGGGTACGTCACATTTCAGAATGACTGCAATCTAGGAAAGTGTGATGGAATAGCTCTATTAAATGAAGGGTGACAGTTCAGTGCAGAGAGATGAACCTGGTTTGAAAATGTGGTTTAGTTTGGGTAGAGGTGAGATATAGCAAAAGACAAGAGTCACTTATGGGATTAGTTTGTTGGTTCTCTAACAATAGTTACACTTTTGGACAGAGAATACAAAAAAAACAAATGGGACCGTAAGAAATGAACTGCGATAATCACAGGTGGCTTTAATCTATATGCAGATTAGGAGAATAAGATTGGTTTAACATAGGCAGGGAAATAAATTTATTAGAATATTTTCAGAACAAAGTAATTTTTAGTACCATCCAGGTAGCAGACTAATCGAGATCCGATCATGTGCAATGAGACAGAATTAATCAATAACCTCACTGCAAAAGAAGTCCCTAGGTGACAGTGTTCACAACATAATTGAATTTCATGCAGAGTTTGAAAGGGAGAGGTAAGAGTCCATGTTTTAAAACCTAAAAAAGGTAATGAGGATGCTATGTAGGTAGAGTTGACTAAAGTGAACCAGGAAGCTAGGTTAAAAGGTTAGGCAATAGGGTTACAGTAGCAGACTTTGAGTTATTAAATAATTAATTTCTCTGAGAAAGAAAAGGTTCTTGGCACAGATGCGACATCCATAGTAAAATAGGAAGTTAAGGGTAGCATTGAAAGAAATACCATACTTACCTGCAAATGTTAGTAGTAAGTCAGAGGGTTGGTCAGACTTAAGAACAAAAGAATGACTAAAGATGATAAAGCAGAACACAAGAGAAAGCTAGCTAGTAATGAAAACATATGGCAAGTTCCTACAAGTAATGAATACAAGAGCAACTATACATCTAGAGGGTAACTAGTGAGTTGATCATGTAAAACAAAACAATGGTAAAGGCTTTGAACAGGTATTTTTTTAAATCTTAATTAAGATGAAAAAAAAGAGTAGAGTAAAGCAAGTGAAATCAAGTGCAAGTCGTAAAAGGTCTCCAAAGACTTAAGACAGAGGCTTAAAGCAGGAGTGTTGAGAGTGAAATAGGGTCCCTAGCATAATTAGTACTTTTTTTTTTTAAAAGAAGGAGTAATTACTAAGCTTAATCAAACAGGAAGTCTTAGAACTCTTGTGGCAGTGGTAATGTCCCTAACCTCTGGATCAGGATGTCCAGGTTTGAATCCCTCCTGCTTCAGATGTATGCAAGAACGTGTGCCAATGAGTGTAGTGCAGAGGATACAATTTACATGATGTCAATAAGGCTTTTGGCAAGGTCTTGCCTATGAGTCTGGTCGAGTCAGCAAGATCCTATGGAATCAAGGACATTTTGATAAATTGGATCTAAATTTGGTTTAATGTCAGAAGGCACAGTGATGGCTAAGGGTTGTTTGTTGGGCTGGAAGCCTCTGTGTACCACAGGGTCCAATGCTGGGTTCCTTGCTGTTTGCAGTCTACATCGATGAACAAGGATACAGGAGATTTGATAAGTAAGTTGGCAGATGACAAGAAAATTGTTGGAGTGGTAAGTAGGCAAGGAAAAAGTTTCAGATTAAAAAGGACAATATGGATGGGCCAGTCAGATATGCAGAAAAAAGGCTAACAGAATTTAATCCTGAAAAATCTGAGGCAGTACAGTTTGGGAGGACTAACAAGGCTCCCTTGTATAGGAAGTAAAGAAGATTAGAAGGATCTTGGTGTGCATGTCCACAGATTCTTGAAGGCAACAGGGCAGATAAGGTGGTTAAGGCAGCTTATGGGATACTTACTATTAAATTGGACACAGAACAAGAGCAGGGAGGTTACAATGGGTAAAAACTAAAAGAACTGCAGATGCTGTAAATCAGGATCAAAAACTAAAGTTTCTGGAAAAGCTCAGCAGGTCTCGCAGCACCTGTGAGGAAAAATCACAGTTAACTTTTTGGGTCCAGTGACCCTTCCTCAGAACTGACGGTAGATAGGAAAATGTCAAT